CACTACCTTCGACAGCTGGGGCTTCGTGGCCGAGAGCTGGCGTCATTAAGTGCAGCTCGACCAAGTCTCCCTCGGCCTCGACCCCGTCCGCCACAACAAGAGGCGCGCCATCGACGATGTCGACAATCAAGGAACCTTCGTCCCCAAACGATGCCGAGTCTCTAATGAGAATCCGCACGGGTACTTCCCTCTGCGCTCGTCCCTGCACAGCACGGTTGAAAAGGGCAGGGAAATCGGGATAGACGCCTGCCAGCTGGGCCGCGCCTTCCGCACCCAAGTTGACTATTATCCCTCCAGCGGCAGTCCCCGCGCTCAAAGCCTCGGAAGCCCCCTGAGACACAGCTTGTTGCACCCTCCCAGCTCTTCGTATAGCGCCACCGGCGGTCGACGCAACTCCGGAGCGGATATCCCTCGCAACCATATTGGCGGCGCGTATGGACCCGATCAGACCGGGTCGGGCGGCTGTGAGGACAAGACGGCCTCCCTGGACGGCGAGATACCCCGTTCCTGCAACGCCTGCTGTTGCTCCGGCGGCGACAGTCGCTGTTGTAGCCGCCGTGGCGGTTACATATAAGGCTGAGGCTGCGAGGCGAAGGCCACTCCTGCTATGCTTAGGTTGGGAATTCCCAACCCTCCGGCAACCACGGTGCTAATGACAAGGGGAACAACCCAGGAAATCTCACTGGAGCCGCCGTCGTGTTGTCCTGTACTTTCTCGTTCCTCTCGATAGAGCTTATGTTCGTAATCCGGTTCCCGTAGACGATGCTCAAATGCTCGGTTCCCTCCTTCCCGTCGATATACGTGCTGCTTGCCTGGTCCCCGTTCCCGCATTTGCCTGTCATAGTCATTGTTTCGATACGTAGGCTCCGTCTCGTAACCTTTCCATTCGTATGACGACATGGCTGCTGGAATTGGTCGTGGCACATACACTCGGCGTGATATGTCGGTTGAGCAAAGGTTTGAATGCCTGAGCTTCCCTCGCTGCAGATTAATGACTCAAGTGTTGGCGGTGCCCTCTAAGCCACCACACGTGATGAAAACGAGAGGAACTGCACTACGGAAAGACGGAGTTACAGCCGTCGAGGCTGCCCAAGCCCTGTCACACGGGTTCACGCGGATGACGACAGTGGCTCTCCGACGCGCTAGCTATTGGCTGATAAAACCAACATCATCGGTGAGCAGACGGCCTGTCTATACCTTAGTCAGTAGCCACAGAATTGTCTCTAATTTCATTCGATGTCTATCGCGACCTCTACAGTCGCCATTAATGAGGCTGGGCTGCCCCAAGTGTGCACAGCTGGAACTGGAAGCCTCGCCGTTCTCTACTATCGCGGTGTTTGGGCAATCTGGCAGTGGTACTACCTGAGGCATATCGCCATACCAAGCGTCGTCGCCACGTTGGGAACGTCGGCAGAGAAGGAGGTTATGAGTTCCTACCTAATACTCAACGACTAGGATATCTCGCCCCTCGGTCTTCTTCGTGATGGCCTTCCATCTGAGCAGCCATAGAAGAACTCTTATTTTTTACTCTACGCATTGCCGATTCAACTCTACTCAACCGCATCGCAAAGTGCATATCGTTTATCCTTCTAGCCGGAGAACTTCATATTGTATGTGCTTCGAGTTCCCGTGAGGAGCTAGGCTCTAAATCGCCCTATTATGTATGCGGTAGATTTTTTTTGGGTGTGGGTCCCTTATTCTACATAGTACACACGCGACATGCCTGACATGATTGATATAGGAGATATCGGGCATAGACTAAAATAGGAGAAATCGTTTCGATTGCCGCCTAATTGTGAACTGTTCTTGGTAACGGTGACTGGCACAACCCACTATGGCAGGATTCGACCCTTGCAAGGTTTCCCTTTGCGGTTTGGGTTCCGTCAGCCGCAACGGGACGAACCAGGGGGGATCTACGTTAAAATCTCACCCACAGGCTTGGACAAGTCCACTCGTTACGCAAGCACGCGTGCATAGAGCAATCGGCCGGTCTAAGTGCGGGCCCCCTGGTAGGCTCGCCGCAGCCTTGTCTTGGCCTGCCGGCAATAACTACCCAGATGTCCTCATTCCCTCCCCCCCTGCCTTGTTTTCCTTTTGGCTCTTCCTCGGTGGTATTGCCCACGGATCTATGGGAAGATGTCTCTGCCCCAAGATACCCCGACGCCACAGTTTCCGCCGGACCCGGCATGGGGCCCGCTGCTCGGTGCCAACGGCAACGGGACAGGGTACACCGTCGGGACTGAGTACGCCAACGGGGCTGGGTATAACAACGCACCTGGGTACAACAACGGAACCGAGTACAGCCACGGCACTGAGTACGCCAACGGAACAGGGTATAGCCACGTCACTGGCACGGAGTACGCTACCGGGACTGGGTACAACCACAACCACGGGATCGAATACGGCAGCGGGGTTCAGTACGGCAACGAGATGGGGTACAGCAACGGGATCGAGTACGGCAAAGCCAGCGAGAAGCTCGGCGTGTCGTCAGCATCGCCTGATGAGAGCCAGAAGATAGGCAACCGCCGGGACGGAACCCGACCTACCTGGAACTCGATGAAGAAGGCGGAGGGCCAGTCGTGGTGGACTGAGATCCTACTCCTCCTCTTCAGCACCGCGCTGCTCGCCGCAATGATCATATTATTCTGGAAACTGGACGGCACCGAGCTCAACGCGTGGTCGGCCGCCATCTCTATCAACTCAGTCACCTCTATCCTGAGCGTGGCCTTTCAAATTGCCCTCATGGGCGTCGTCGGCTCGTGCCTCAGTCAAGGGAAGTGGACGTGGTTCAGGAGCAGAGCGGGCCCCATCAAGGGCTTCTTGGCCTTCGACGACGCGTCTCGGGGGCCCCTGGGTGCCATCTCCCTCCTCTGGTGGCTGAAGTCCTTGTGCGTTCATCCTCTATATGCCCGACCCCCTCGGCCGGGAGGCCATGAGACTGACCCCCTTCCGCTAGACACTGGCCCGCACTGGGAGCCTGGGTGATGCTCCTCATGCTCGGGTTCGACCCTTTTCTCCAGGCCGTCATCGACTACGACGGAGACCTGGTCGTTAGGCAAGGATCGAATTCGACGCTCGGTCGAAGCGGCGCCATCAGCTTCGGGTCGAACCTGGGGTCAGCAATCTACTCGTCTGCTGTACATAACATAAAGTCCGACATCGGCTTTTCCTCCAGCATCCTCGCTGGGTTTTCCGACTCGTCTACCTCCAATACGGACCAGCCACCGTCGCTGTCCTGCAACACAGGCAATTGCACATGGGCTGAATACTCGACCATCGAGATCTGTAGCTCCTGCGTCGACATTTCGTCTAAAGTCGTCGCCTCGCACGGGGTTGGCAACCAGGCCAACCTGCCTGACTGTAACATAGTGACCAAGGCATCCTTGAGCGGTAACTACACGACCTACACGCTCCCATATTCATCAAAGATCGACGTCTTTCTTCGTTGGTTCAACGGTTTTAAGGATGAGACTGCATGTGGTCCTTTGAACTATAAGCATGGTATGCTTACGGCTGTGTTCGAGCCCAACGCGACTTACAACTTCAAGGAATGGGACACGATGCTGGCGGCGTTCGCTTTCCTAAGGGCCCCGGATCCCTGGTGGGATAACCAGACGCGTTGGGACGCCTCCTCGATGCAGGCCACCGAATGCGCTCTCCGCTACTGCAGCAATGCCTACAACGCAACCATGTCTAGCGGCAAGGTCAAAGAGACGCCGATCCCTGGCACCTCCTTCCAGCGCGTCAAGGACTCGTACCAGCTAAAGTCGCCCGGAGTCGCTAGCGACTGGGACATTGGATCGGGCCTCGTGCGGGATTCTCCGGCGCACAGGGAGTACAACACGCCAAACACGCCGCTCTCGGTAACGAACAAGTGGAGCGTAGACTACGACGATCGGCTCGACCTCCAACTCGCGCTGCAGTTGCCCGCCGGGTCGGACCTGGCCAACAAGGTCCAGACCACCTTCAACATCACTCAGCTGGCGATCGAATCGTCCGTCGTGTTCCTCACGCGGAACGACACGCTCGACATGATCTCCGCTTCACTGATCGAATCTTCTAATCTGACCGCGACGTTCGAGCATGCCGCGCGTATCATGTCCCTCCGCCTACGACAGAATGACGGAAACATCACCAGTGGTGAGGTGGAGGAATGGGTCGTGTTTGTGCGCATGCAGTGGCCATACCTCGCCTTCCCTGTCGCCATGTATGTCTTGGCCGTCATCTACGCCCTGGGCATGATGTTCACCGTCAGCGGCCACGAGCTCAAGATGACCAAGGGCGAGCTGCTGCCGGTCATGCTCCATGGCCTCAACGACGAGACCAAGGCGAGCTTGAACGAGATGAAGCTTCGGGGAGAGAATGTAACAGAGATCACCATCAAGCTGAAGGATATCGACAGCGGTGTCCAGTTAGAACGCGTCAGCAATCATGAAATCTAATGGCTCATTAGGACTATTGGTGCCTCTGTCTTTATCAATACTACCTATTTCCAACCATCATACTATCTATATCCAATGCCCCGGAGGCGAGAATACCGCTACTAAACTCTAAATGTAATCTCTAAGCGCCACTCTTCTAACTTATGATAGCATGTGGGCCGTCCCTGCTGTCCTAGCTGAAGTGCGTGGTCTGGAGGTTGAATTGAGGCATAACCATCGAGTCAGGCAGCGGGTGAGCAGTCCTGAATGGCGTGTTTCATGCGAGAGGCTAGAGTGAGGCAGGACGGAAGCTTTAAGCAGAATCTTGGGTACTATATCAAGACCTTGCAGTTAAGGAAGATGTACCACTTCGTATAGTTACCATAATTCGAATAGCCGATTACGATAACTTAGTCACGTGTCACAATTTAATCATGTCGCCTCTGTAACGACCCACTGCGCATCCTGCATTCACACCTTCATGACGGCAGGAAAAAGGCATACAACCTTCAAAAACAAAAACAACACGATTCTGCACTCTCCGACATCCTATATGATAGGAAAAGAACCAAAAAGGTGGGGCCTGACCGGGGATTGAACCCGGGACCTCTCGCAAATGTACCAGATAAACTGGTGAGATTTTTCCCGAAGCGAGAATCATACCGCTAGACCATCAGGCCGAATTATTGAAGTGCGCCAGAGCAGGGGATCATCAACGAGTCATGCGAGCTCGCGCGGGGGTTGGGACGGCTTACTTCCCGACATGCAGGCTGTGCTCCGGCATGTGGGTGGATTGCCGGGATGTGGGAAGGGTTCCGGGGTTTAGATTCCGAGGGAGCTCGGGCGGACCGTAGAGCAAGACATGCAATTGTGGGGTGAGGGGAAGAGTCCGGCGACAGACTTGATAGCACGGGCGGCTTCAACAGAACTATCCATGGGGTGTCTGAAGAAAATTTGAGAGGGCGTTGTTTTTGGTTGATGCGAGCCTCGAGCTTTTAGACATGCCTCTATCCGTATCGCGCCGGAGACTCTCGTCTAACGTCGCAGCTGTGCTGTTTGCCCCTGTCTAGGCCGACCAATCAGGAGACGACTGGGAGAGACAGAAAATGGCATAGTGATGGCGCCTAGGTCGAGGAGAGTGCACACACGGACGAATTAGAGACGGCTGGGAACTTCTAAGAAAGCTTGGTGTATTCGCGCTCAAGTTGCTACCGTATTTGCCTTGAGGCCCTGGGGAGGACAGGGCTGCGTCCCCGCCCGCCTAACATAGAAATGAGACTCGTTGGCCTCACTACTCCCCGGGATCCTCTGTGTAGCCAATGCGGCAAGCTAAGATCGTCATACCGCCATCTGCATGTTCCCGTTAGCGCATCACTGTTTAGCATTTTCGAGCTCAGCACATCGCGCATGTATAAGAGGGCCAAAACGGACGATAGCCGCCCGCCATGAAGCCTTTCAAACTGCACCCGCAACCCAGATCACAGAATGTCAGATACGCATACCCAACGGCAGAGGCCTCGAAGTGAGCGAGTGTCAAATCTGAGACTAAAGTATACCATCTATGGCCTTTTTCTCTGTTAAGTCGTGCTGCTTGCCTCCGTTCCCACACCCCTGCTTGCTGCGAGTGGGCACGCCTGCCAGTGAGCCACGCATTGGGCCCAGTTCAATAGTCCTGGCTGTCTCTACCTCTCGCGGAGTGCAGTAATATCGCATATATTTCGTCATACCTTAGTCTTAATTATTGGTCATTGAGGTGAAGCTCTACGCAGTGTGCGAGCTTCTCTTTTATCAGATGTTCGCTCTTGCCTATTATCTCATCTAACTCTAGTTCTGACACTTGCTCCTCATGGAGACAGGGATTTGAGAGCTCTCCTCCCTCAGGGACTCTGCCGATCTATGGATCAGTACCCTCTCTTTTCTTCCATGAAAGAGACACCGGTTAGATGCCACGACATTTCCAAGTTCGCCGCTGCTATAAGGGATGGGAGAGACTCTGCTGCTCCCTGGAGTATTCTCCTCCATTTCTTGTAAGCAGACACAGTGGTTAGACCCCTCGGCGTTTCAGAGTTCCCCACCACCATAGCGACGTTATTCTCAGGGACGGTGGGGTTAGGTCCGGAAGGCAGGAGGTTAGCTGGAATCTTGGCTCGCTGCGAGATGGCCGAGAGAGAAGGTAAAGAGGGGTCAGGGAGAAATATCAGGAATAGATAATCTGGGCTCAGGGAAGTTGTATGGAAGTACTGGTAAGCAGCGATCCGACACGAGATCCTATAAACATGAGGTAAATTTTTCCGAGTATGGTGCGCCAACATGCGTTTAGAAGATGATGACGATGTTTCGATAGAGACACAGTGCAGCAGACAATTTATCTTGACTCTCTTGCCAGATGGATCTTTGTAAAGTGCGTCACTCGTTTATGGGTCACGACAACTTGCCGATTGGGTTTCATATAAGACTTAGACCAAGAATTTACCAGGCATGCTAACTAGCTAGAGAGACAGGCGCTGACCAGCCAAGCCCCCCGGTGTTTGTCGGAAAGACACACGGGAGCGGAACGATGCCAGGTGCAAGAACGTTGCCTATGCTGCAGAACGTAGACAAAAGCTATCTGGCAGTGAAGGCGAGAAAATTAATGAAAGATGAGGGAGGTTTCCAAGGAAGAAGTGCAGGGCGGCAGATTTCCGGGCCTAACTGGTGGCATGGTTCCCTACCTATCTAGGAGATAAGATCCTTGCGAGGCCGGGGGCACTCGGCGTTGCACCTGCAGCGAGCTGCGATGTTAGGCAAACCTCGAAATCACTTGCTTACCTTGGGTGTATACTGACTGTTAAACATCGTCACTACGCTGCTGTTAGGTAGCCCCTTGGAGCGTGTAGCCGTGGGCAAGAGCGTTTTAAGTGAGGAGGTTAGCAGATGTCAAGTAGGTAACCTTCTTGTCTCGCCTGTTCAGGATGGTTCAGCGATGTGCATCTGTACACGGAGCAATGCTTTGGTAGCGGGTCCTACCTGCCGCGTGCCTCCGGCGCTCGGGCTGGCTTTTCACCGTAGGCCGGCGGAGGAGCAAGCCCGGGGTCTGTTTGCAGTCCGATCGGGCTCGGCGACCGGAGTCCGTTTCGCCCGATGACTTAGCGCGGGGCTGCTTGTGGAACGAAGAAAAAAAAAGTCCCTTTACCAATCTCGGGTCGTTGATTGCACCATGTCCGGATCGAAGTCGATTGGGGCCACAGTATTCGCTTCGGACAGGTTGGCGGGCCAAAAAGCTAAACTCCGAGTAGCCCTCGGTCAGTGCGAAGCCCGCAGGAGCCGTACAGGCAGGCTGGTTAAATTGACTACGAACTGGGCTAAAGGCAGAGCCTCAGCAGCTGGACGCGAGGCTCGTGGGGACGAAGAACCAGCTTTCTGGAGGCATTCTCCCGGAGGCTGTAGCTGGCGAGGTAGGTAGTTAAGCCCCAACATTCCAGTCTTCATTCCGTCACCATCCAAACATTAGAGCCGGCCACGGCTCCGGCCGAGATCAAGTAGCATGGCGTGGGTTTGCCCCCTCTCAGTGCTCCCTATTGCGGGACAGGTGCCGGACAGTTAATTTAAGGAAATACCTCCGCCCGCCCCATGGCCGGTATTGGAGGGGAGGGTGCCGTGGCGCCCAGCTCGTGGCCTCTTAGCTCAGGACGGGCGCCTTTTCGTCCGAGGCCGTGGTTTGGGTCAAATGCAGCACCCATCCGTCCTCCGCGGGCAAGCGTGCGTACCCAGCCCCGGACGCTCCCCATTCGCCGTCGATGAATAGTCTTAAGACGGCCATGTGCCGCGTATTCGCGCGGTCTGCGGCATCTCGACCCAACACCAAGACTAGGATCTTCCGCGCTTCGGTCCCAGCCTCTACCGCTACGGCGCTCGCGCTCTCCATGGCGGCCTATTCGACGTCAGTCTCGCAGCCCAGCCGCGCCGCGGCCGCGCCCGAAGATGGAGACCCGGAAGCACACCACGTCAAGAAGCATGGCAAGACGGTCCACTTCAGCAACCCGCATCCGTCGTTCAAGAAGGAGATGGGGAGTGCCTTTGCCATTGGGATGAAGATATTCCGGTACGTCCATCCCGAGAATCGCTGCACGACAGAGAGATGGAGATGCTAATACGGTCGCAGAGCCCGGCGGGACGGCAAGATGCCCACTCCGGACATGAGCAAGGCGAGCGAGATTCCGGTTGCCACACCGAGTTTTTCGTCGGCCCGCGGCGGGGCGGAGAATCAGGCTCTCCGGGCGACGTGGCTCGGCCACGCTTGCTACTACGTCGAGTTCCCCGGTGGGCTGCGCGTTCTTTTCGACCCGGTCTTCGAAGACCGGTGCTCGCCGGTGCAGTTCTTCGGCCCCAAGCGCTACACACCGCCGCCGTGTCGCCTGTCGGACCTGCCCGTGGTCGACGCGGTCGTCATCAGCCACTCGCACTATGACCACCTGTCGCACCCGAGCGTGCTGGAGATCCAGAAGCACCACCCGGAAGCCCACTTCTTCGTCGGGCTGGGGCTCGAGAGGTGGTTCCGCACGAGCGGCGTGAAGAAGGTGACGGAGCTCGACTGGTGGCAGGACGCCGAGCTTGTGGTGGAGCCGACCAAAGGGGCGGGGGCCAAGATCGCGGCGACGGTATCGTGCCTGCCCTGCCAGCACGGGTCCGGTAGGACGCCGAGCGACAAGGACGAGACGCTGTGGGCGTCATGGGCGATCTCGTCGGGCGGCAAGTCGGTCTGGTTCGGTGGCGACACGGGCTACCGCGCGGTGCCGGAGCTGCCGGCCGGCGTCGACGACTATGGTCCTGAGTACGACGACCTCCCGCGGTGCCCGCAGTTCGCCGAGATCGGGAAGCTGCGCGGGCCGTTCGACCTGGGCATGATCCCCATCGGCGCTTACCAGCCACGCTTCCTCTGGAGCCCGGTGCACGCGAACCCGTTCGACGCTGTCGAGATCTTCAAGGATACGAAGTGCAAGCGGGCTATGGGCATTCACTGGGGCACCTGGGCCCTGACGTCGGAGGAGATCGACGAGCCGCCAAAGATCCTCAAGGAGGCGTTGAGGAAGAGCGGGATCGCCGAGACGGGTGTCTTTGATACGTGTAGCATCGGCGAGAGCAGGGAGTTCTGAGTTCTCGCGCGTTTCTCGGGGTGAGCCGCTGGGAGGCTTGTGTGCTGGGCGGGGCGGTTGCATGCATTGGCGTAGGGGCCATGGCGTTTATACTCCATTCATTCAATTTGCATGTATTCACATAATACAGGAATACCGATGTAGGATATGAGAGTTTTCATGTCTGTGAGCCTCAATGACGTTGGGTTAGGGTTGGGGTGTCAGCTTCAACTATGAGCTTGGCGTCAGACCCAACCCGGCATGCAAACGGGAGAAATGCACCAGGCTGACACACTTTCGCCGCAACGACATGGGTAACCCGATCCCCGCAAACCCGCAGGGCCCGAGCCCGACCGGAGACGCGGTCGCGGCGGATGCGGCGCTCATATACGACTACCACCGCATGCGCCATACGCTCCAGCCCGCGGACGCCATCTTCACGCTCTGCAGCCTCGACACACGCGTGGCCCACCGCGCGGCCGAGCTGTACCTCGCCGGGCTCGCCCCGCTGCTCATCTTCTCCGGGGGCGTTGGCGCTCTCACCGAGGGCCGGTTCGCGGTGCCGGAGG